CATCATCTTCATCATTGGGTCTTTGAACAATTCATCATCATCTTCATTATCATTATCATCATCATCTTCATCATCAGGTCTTTGAACTCTTTATCTTTAACATTAGGGCTGTTGCCATGGTAACCCTGCAGGTCAAAACACCAGAACCCTTCAGCTCTGTAACAAACAAACAAACAAACAAACAGAACTCCAGTTGGATCACCGGCCGGTTCTGATCCGGAGATAAGAGATCAAATTATTTTGCTGACGGTCCAGCAGTCAACACGGAGACTCCAATGTTTACAAGCCATTTGGTGATTTGTTTACTTGTAAACAAATGTCTGTTGTTCTGGTTTCTTTCCTCTCAACTGGACCTTTTTGGTTTCAGAACCATCAGAACTTAAACAAAGCTCAGGCTAACGTCTGAAATTGTTGTTGTTCATGTTTTTGTTCATTTTTGTTAGAAGAACAGACGTTTTTAACATCTGGTTAGCTCAATTCACCAACTACAAACATCCACTTTAAATGGTTTCAACTGGTTTAAACTGGTTTGAACCATTTAAACCATAAACTGGTTTAAACCATTTAAACCGATTTAAACAGGATGTTTTTAGTTGGTGATTCTGGTTTAAACCAGTTTGAACCAGTTTAAACCAGATGTTTTTAACTGAATCAGCACTCCTGGTTCCAGGCTCTGGAGGGTCCAGCAGGTCCAGGTTTTGGTCTCTGGTCTCTTCGGCTGCTGTTTTTATCCTCCGACTTCAGTCCAGGTGGATTTTTCTCAGATCTGATCCTCGGTCTGGTGAAGAACTTCTTCAGGACCTTGTTGGCCCTTCTGGGTCCAGGACTTGACCCGGATTCTCAGACTTGTGACGGGACCTTGGTCCAAAGTGGGCGAACGTCGGCTGCTGGAGTTCAACTTTTAGTTTCAGCTAAATTCATCCCGACAGTTCTGCTTCTGGATGCTTTTAGGCAGCGGTTTGAAGTTCTGCTTCTGAAGGTGGCCTGGTCTTTGTGGACTTTAGGAACCTCTGATCTGAAGAAACCCCTTCAGAGCCTTCAACCCGACCGGAGGAGGAATCGGAACCAGGACAGAACTTTAACCACGATGAATCCAGACGTTCAGATTTAAAAACTAAACTTTGGTTTTGATTCTGCGAGCCGGTAAAAACGAGTTTCAAGTCCTTCCTGTCTGCAGAGGGATCCATGTTTGTTCTAACGGTTCTGGACCCCTGCGACCCGGTACCGGAGGAGAGTCCGTGCACACTGAGCATACCCAGCTGTCTGTCATGCATCTCTAATCCTAAAGCTAAAACAAAACGGACCCCCACCCTAAAGTCACGAGACACAGAGGGAGCGTATAGGTTTGACACAGACAAGGAATTTCCAGTTTTCTATAGGGGGAGGGGCCTATTTATATAGATGATAGATGTTAAAGCCCCGCCCCCTGGTCCTCCATCTTTGTTCTATCCCGAGGCGTTGATGTAGAGCTGACTCTGCAGGATGTAGTCGATGACGGGCTGACTCAGGTAGTCCACAACATGGCCGTCCCCGTGCTGCAGGGCCAATCTGTGGAGGGGGGGTTAAAGGTCGGGGGGGGGGGGGGTTAAAGGTCAGATTCAAACAAACTTGTGTTCAACTTCACATAAAATAATAACACAACTCTAACCCACCTGCTCTTGGTGGAGCTGACGATGGACATCGGGTGGTTCATGGTGTCATTCACCACCAGGATGTTGTCCTGGAACCCAGAACAGAACCGGGTCAGCACAGACAAGAACCGGCCGCCATCAAACGTCTACAGCTGAGTCATTTCAGTTCAAGATGGCTGCCACATCTAGATGACATCAGCAAATGCAGAAATGAGTGAGTTCTGCCTGATGTGGTAGTAGCTGAGAGTCGTCCCAAACACTTTGTGAGCTCACAGACCAGGTGCATGATGGGAAGTGGACCTGTAGGTTTATTAAAACCTTCAGCTCGACGTTTCAGTAAATCAAATGTTTTACTGGATCCTTTGAGGATATCCAGAACCCTGCTGAGGTTTCAGAAGGTTCCGAGTCTGATGGCGGGTCAAACCGGAAGGTTCGAGTCAGTAACTGAGTTCTGCAGAACTTCTGACCTTGTACTTGCGGAGGATGGAGGAGTGGTTCATGATCCTCTCGGTGTCGGCTCCGTCACGAGGAACCACCACGATCCCAAAGTCCCCGACGATCACCTCCATCTGAAAACACAAAAACTTCAGGACTCTGACCCCCCAGCAGGACGAGGGTTGGACCTGCGGGGGCCCTCAGGGTCCCAGGGTTCTGATCGAGGTCGACTCTTGAACTCGGGGACCCTCTGAGGGAACAGCTTTTAGCTTCTGAGCTGACATGTTTTGTCAGTAAAACATCTCAAAGGAGCTCAGACGAGCTTCTTTCATCCAGGAAGTCTTAGAAGAAACCAGACGACCATGTGTGCAGAACAGAAACATGCTTTCATGAGCACCACCAGCACCACCAGCACCACCAGCTTCACGTCACATCCAACACCTTTCATCTCACAAGCTAGTCTCATTTGTCCATTCACAGATTTTTATGCACAATTTAAAAATGTGCATAAAAGTATTGATGGAAACTGAGGCTTACTCTTTTTAAAGTGTCTGATTAAAAAGAATAGACTGTTTGTTAAGCTGAGAGGCGGGGCTACACAAGAGAGGGGCGGGGCTACATTGTGCTTACATCACTGTCCTTCCAGAGGCCAGGGATGCAGAAGGACTCCAGGAGATCACTGCCACACAGGAGCAAGATGCGTAACTCTACAGACACACACACAGACAGACAGACAGACAGACAGGCAGGAGGAAAGAGACAGACAGGTCCTCAGCAAACAACACTCTGTAAACGTCACCTTCACCCGTCAGTAAGCACCATGTTTACTTGGTAAACGTCACGTTTACTGGATCCAAAGGAGCCAGAAGGAATTCAGACACAGCAGGAGAGAAAACCCGAGGACAGAGTCCGGTTCAGGTCCGGAGACTCACCGATCTCCTCGTATCTCATGGCGGTCCCCAGGTTGGCGTTTTCATCTGAAACAGCAACGTATATTGTTGGTAAACATAAACAAAGTTTGCATTTATTCTCATCCAAAAATAACTAGGACAGTATGTAAGCTACCAGAAAGTAAAGAATGTTTCCGAACATAAAAAGCATTTGGTTCACAGAAAACAAAGAATGTTACCAAAACTAAGAAACAACTCTTCATTATCTCAAAATTATGAATTAAGATCTTTTAATTTGGCATTTCTAAACAAAATAAATGTCCAAAATATTTTAGCTCTTGATTTTTCAACTAGTAAAATATTTATTAACAATTTTGAGTCAATGTCAAAATTCCTGTTTTTCTTTGAAAAGTGTAAAAATCCAGTTTTCTCACCGAGGAACGTGAAGCGATCCATCTGAGGACGAACGCAGCAGATTTTACCCAAATTCTCACTGAGTTTTCCCCAAACTTTCACTAAAACACACAAAATTACACGAAAGGTTAAAAATTAAAACATAAACATGTGTTAATATAATATCTTAAAAAGTTAAATCTGGTCCTCTGGACATTCAAAAAAACAAAACAACAAAAAAATGTAGAAACGTTTCGTCTCTCATCTTCCTCAGTCTCTCGGACCAGTTTTAACTTTTTTAGATTTTTCTACCTGGATTATTGAGCAGCATCAGGTTAATATAATATCTTAGTAAATAAATGGAAGTAAAATATTGTTGGTTTGGTTATACTCTTGATTTAAACAGTCTGATTTAAAAAGTGAAAACGTAAACGAAATTTGAGAAAAATAATCATTAACATGATAAACATTATACTTTTATAATAATGACCTGATCGTTGATCAGGATAATATCTGATCAATACATCGTTATCACTGAGTTTACTCTAAACTGAAATACAACTCTGATGTTTGAGGACAGAAAGATGAGTTGGACTCACAAGCCGTGGGTTTGTGGTTGGAGTTGGTGTGGTTCTGGTAGATGGGCGGAGTCTTGTTCTGTGGCTGACCAATCACAGGGGTGGTGGACGGTGTGTTGACATTGGACAGGATGCATCCGGTGACTCTCTGAGGGACAGAAACACATTAAGCGTTAAATTATTTTAATGCTTCAATATTTTTGAGTCACATGGTCTGATCAAATATCTTTAATGATGTTTTGTCTCTAGACGAAGCCCACAGGTGTGAGCAGTGGTGGAGAAAGTACTCAAACACTGTACTTAAGTAAAAGTACAAATAAACAGACAAAAATGTACTCTAGTAAAAGTAGAAGTACCATATTAACATTTTTACTTAAGTAAAAGTAAATAAGAACTTGCTTTTAAAATACTTAAAGTATTAAAAGTAAAAGAACTTCCTAATTAATGTAATGGTCTACATGTCTTTAAACCTGTGTACCGTATGTATATTTTCTGTAGTACATTAATAGTGTTGAGCCATTTTACTGAACGATGCTGCAGATAATACATGTTTTTATTGTGTTTACTCTGTGACACAGGTCACATCTGGACTTGTGATTCTGCGTCAGAATTTCAGGGATGACCTGCAGAGTTAAATGTCATTAATCAAAATAAGAAAGAGGAACAATTTTAACTTTGAAAGTTTTTATTTAACACAGATCAAAACAATGAACAATATTTTAACTTCCTGACACCATTTTTAAAACTTGGACCGGAGTGTCGAGACATTTGGAGACATCTCTCGTCTCCTAACATCATGAACTGACACATTTTAATGTTGCAGCAAGAATTTCTTGTTCAAGTTCAGAAGAAGTTGCTTTTCAAAGATTTAAGTCCAGTCTGGCTCTTTTAGGAGAGAATCTGTCCTGTTGTACTGAGCAGTCTTTCAATAATCTTTCAATAATCTTTCAATAATCTTTCAATAATCTTTCAATAAGGCCATGGGTGGAGCGTATCTTCTGGATGACTCTCTTGCGGTGGAATACATTTTGGGTGTTAGTGGTGCTGCAGGTGCACCCAGCTCAGTGACATATAAATACTAGAATATATGTCATTGGTCGAGCTCTTCTTGAAGGCGGGGCCTAACGTTACCTGTCCACTCTGCAGTGATTCAATGGACCAGCTCCCTCTCACCATTGGTTACTTTCAAAGTAACAAACAAATCAAAAAGCTGCAACATGAATGTAACTTGTAATGCAACGCATTATAGAAATGTAGTGTAGTAGAAAGTACAGATACTTGATGTAAAATGTAGTGAAGTAAAAATATAATGTACCCACATTTAACTCTACTTAAGTAAAGTACAGATACATGAAAAATGTACTTAAGTACAGTAACAAAGTATTTGTACTGAGTTACATCCCACCACTGGGTGTGAGTCACCTTCATCAGGTCTCGGTGGTGCTCCAGCACACTGCAGGTTGTCTGCCAGGTGTCCTGGTAACACTCCCAGGGGTCCACTCTGAAGGATCAACACAAGATCTAAAACTTTTAGCTGATAAATCTGTTAAAAGAACTTCTGGTTTCACCTTGAAGTTCCACAAATAAAGTAAACATTTAAAAAAGTTTCAATTAATGAAATGTTTTATTCTGAAACTTTACAGGAAGCTTAAACCTCCCTGACTCGTTGATCGACATCTCACCTGATCCAATCAGACGACTGCACAGCCAGCTGACACATGGTGAGGCGATGTCGGCTCGACACCAGGCCCTGCAGACAAACAACAATAACACTATCAACACAACAACAACAACGGCAACGCAATCAATGCAACAACACTGTCAACACAACAACAACAACATCATCAACAACACAATCTACACAACAACAATAAACCAACACAACAACAACATTATCAACATAACAACAACAATACAAAAACCAACAACACAACACTCAAAACAACAACAAAAACACACTATCAATACAACAACAACACAGTATCAACACAACAACAACAACAACAACACACTACAGAACTACAGCTTTTATTGTTGTTGTTGTGTATGCATGCTGTTTTATTGTTGTTGTTTAAGTATATACATGTTGTTTTATTGTTTTTGTAGTGTATACATGTTGTTTTATTGTTGTTGATGAAGTGTATACATGTTGTTGTTGTTGTGTATACATGTTGTTTTATTGTTGTTGCTGAAGCGTATACAAGTTGTTTTATTGTTGTTGTTGAAGTGTATGGATGTTGTTGTTTTATTGTTGTTGTTGATGTGTATACATGGCATTGTATTGTTGTTGTTGTGTATACATGTTGTTTTATTGTTGTTGTTGAAGTGTATGCAAGTTGTTTTATTGTTGTTGTTGTTGTTGAAGTGTATACAAGTTGTTTTATTGTTGTTGTTGAAGTGTATACATGTTGTTTTATTGTTGTTGCTGA